TTTTCTTCTCTTGGGATTTGTTCAAATGTGATCTCGTCAAATGAGGCTGCTAGCTTCGTGACGACTTGTAGGTAAGCCTTCATTTTTGGGTTTTTAGCTGCAAAAATTCCGTTTGATTAATAATCAAAAGGGAATCGCACGTTACCTCGAGTATCTTGACGCCCAGGTCTCGTGCTAGGTTTAATCCGAAGATTAGTGCTTCGTACTCCGCCTCGTTATTCATTGCGTCAAATTCACATCGGACAGCTTGTAGTATGTTTCCCCCTTGTGGTGACTTCAGGACTACTCCCAATCCAGTGCCTTGCGTGTTGGAGGCTCTGTCGGTTTGCAATTCCCATTTCTGTCGACTTTGTCCTTCTATGAGTAGACATGTTTCTCTTTCGGCGTCTACTTGCAACTTGAGACTGAAGTCTGCCACAAAATCAGCCAGACATTGTGACTTCAAAGCTGTTCTCGGTTCATACCTGATGTCATATGCCCACTTAGTTCTGGCTTCCTCATGATAGACTTCATGGGATAATTAGTTCGTACAGAAATGTTGTGTGATTCAAAATAAGGGCGCAATTTAACAGATGATGTTATTAATGCAAGTACTAATTTTTCTAGGAGTGCGTACCTGGATTCCGGTCCATTTAACGACTTACTGATGTAGTAGACAGGAGTGTGTTGTCCATCCTCTTCTCTAGTCAAGACAGCATTAACAACATGTTCAGATACGGCTAGGTATAGTTGCAGTTCCTCGTCATCTTTTGGCTTGGTTAGTAGTGGAGGTGTCGTCATGTATTCCTTGAGTTGATGCAATGCTTTCTCATGTTGCTCCATCCACTCGAATTTTTTGTTCTTGCGAAGGATGTCGTAAAAAAGACGACATTTATCCGACGACTTTGATATGAACCTGTTAAGCGCTGCAACTCGTCCGGTAAGCCTCTGGACGTCTTTGATGGATTTTGGCGATTCAATGTCAAGGATGGCTCTCACTTGCTGTGGACTCGCCTCAATTCCTCGTTCACTGATGACATAGCCCATAAATTCTCCTGATGTCATCCCGAATGTGCACTTGGCTGAATTGAGCTTCAGATTGTATTCCCTCAACTTTGTGAAGGATTCTTTGAGGTGGTCGACATGATCCTCTGCTTTCTTTGATTTCACCATCATGTCGTCTATGTAGACCTCTATGGTTTTCCCAAGTTGGTCTTTGAACATCATCGTCACAAGCCTTTGGAAAGTGGCACCTGCATTTTTCAAACCGAAAGGCATAACGATATAACAGTAAGTACCTATTTCAGTGATGAAGGCGAATTTCTCCTGATCATGTGGATGCAGTTGAATTTGGTGGTATCCGCTGAAGGCGTCCATGAATGACAACATTTCATGTCCTGCTGTCGCGTCTACTAACACATCAATGTGAGGCATAGGGAAAGAGTCCTTCGGGCACGCTTTGTTCAAATCTGTAAAGTCGACGCACACCCGCTATTTTGCTTTCTTGCCTTTCTTTTTTCCTTTCCTTTTTTGTATGACGACGACATTGGCTAGCGAGTCGGGATATTTGCCTCTCTAGCTTTACCGATGTGCAACAGTATCTCAATTTCTTGGTTGACGATTTCATTCCTTTCCCTGGCGAACCGTCTCCTTTTCTGCCCGATGGGTTTGTGTGACTTGTTGAAGTTTAGTCTGTGAGTGATGATTTTTGGATCAACTCCCGTCATATCGTCGTGACTCCACGCAAAAACATCTTTATGCTCCTTAAGAAAGTCAATGAGCTCGCTTTTAAGGTGTTCTGGCACGTTCTTCCCAATGAGGATGACTCATTCCGGATGATTAGGATCTATGACAACATCCTCTATTCTGTCGTCGTCTTCTTCATCTGTAATGGCGTCGCCCTTTAATTGCTATGCTGAGGCAGTTGGCGTTGCAGTGGACTTCATTGTTGTTTGGTAACATGACTTTGCAGCTCTTCTGTCTCCCTGAATTGATTTTACGCCCCATGGTGTTGGAAATTTGACGACTTGATGATAGGTGGATGGAATTGCCCCCATTTGATGCAGCCACGGGGTTCCCAGGATCATGTTGTAAGCGGGCAGCTCTTGGACCACATCAAACTTGACCTGCAAAATAAGACCATTTGTATATACGGGTAAGGATACGTTACCTAGGGTCCGGCTTGGTTCCCCATTGAAGCCGATCAGGATCGATCCTGAACTTGTCACATCCTCCTCCTTGTAGCCCATTTGTCCCAACATTTTCATCGTTGTGATGTTGGTGGTGCTCCCGTTGTCGACAAGGACTCGACGTACTTCGCAGGTTGCCGCTCGGAGTGATATAACCAGAGCATCATGGTGGACGTCGACTGGGTCCACTCTATCAGATTCGTCGAAGGTAATTGATACGTTCTTCCAATCTTCTTCGCGTTTGGCTATTCGACAGACCTGAGACGACTTGTCTCAGGAGTATTCCCGAGCATGTCTCTTGGCTGCAGAATATGTTAGTCCTAATAATTTAGAACCGCCATTAATAAAGTTTATTACCTTGTGAGGGGAAGAAGGTGATGGTGGTCGTTGTCCGGATGTTGACGACTTTGGATCTCAGTGTAGAAGGGACTTAGTTTGCTCAGCCATTATCTCCGTGAGATATCCATTCCGCAAGAGATAGGCATCTTCTTTCCTTAAAGCGACACAGTCCTCGGTGTTATGACCGATGTCGTCGTGGAAATCACACCTCTTGCTGGGATCTGTTGCCCTGCTGATTTGACAGACTTCTTGGACCAACGGACTCTTTCCCCTAACTTGTCCAAAGAGTTGATGAGTCCTGCAGTGTCGACGCTGAAACAATATTCCGTTATTGGCGGTGGCAGGTCAAGATTGTCAAGCCAGCTTGTTACTGATGTCTCTTGTCAATCTTCGCCTTTTGTGTACGGCTTCCCCGCTCGGTACTCATGCCTTTTGGACGAACTTGCTTTCCGGTGTCCTCCTTCATAACCCTCGGGCCGTTGACGAGACTGCTGGTCTTCCTCAAGCCGGATGAACGCCATAGTTTTGGCTTGAACATCTTCGAAAGTCCTGCAGGGAGACTTGGTCAATTCTCTGTAGAGTTCTGAATCTTCCAGCAACCCTCTTCTGTACGCCTCTACTGCTGTCGACATGTCGTATCTTGGAATCGACACTTTTTCTCTGTTGAATCTATGAAGATAGTCTCTTAAGATCTCGTTCCGCTTCTGGACCACTCGATACAGGTCGCTCGTTTGCTTTTCCAGAACTCGACTACTTGCGAACTGTTGATTAAAGATGTTGACGAGTTCCGCAAATGAATGGATGGCTTCGTTTGGCAGGTTAACGAACCACTTCAAGGCGGGTCCAGTCAATGTTGTTCCGAATGCTCTGTGCATGCACGCCTCCCACTGATCTAGACTGACGGAAACAACAAGCATTCACTGCTTATATTGGGCAACATGTTCCACCGGATCGGCGGTTCCGTTGAACAACTTCATTGAGGGAGCTGCAAACTTCCTCGGGATCTCGACATCCGTGATATGCCTTCCGAAAGGAGAGTCGGTGTAGCAAGTCTGCGAAGCGACGCCTAAGGGTGGCGGCACTCCTGGTATGCTGCTGATTTTCTCCCGCATCTCCCTTAGTTCTTCCATGAGGATCGCTAAGGGACCCACTGGATGCGTCCGTGCCCGAGGTTCTAGCTGGATGAGCGAAGCCACTGCCTGGACTACCTTCTGTCTGGTGGGGGATGATATGTCAATGAACTTTGTACCCCGTCGACACTGGCCGTTGAAGTCGACATTTCTGGCGAAGTCGACACGTCTGGGAATGTCGACCTGAATCGGGACTCTTCTTCTGTGAGGTTCCCCTACAAAATTCTGGGTCGTGCCTCGTCTGGGATTGGAACGGGAGCCAGGTCCCATGGATGAGCCCGGTTCTCCAGGTATGCCGGCGGCCGCATAAGGGAAGAAAGGTTCGATCGCGGTTGAACCGGCATTTGATGTGGGCATCCTTTGCGTGAGAGATTGCAAACCCGGCGATGATGGTCTGGACCGAAGGGAATCTGGAAAATAACAGGCTGGGATGCTTGGGGACGGAGTGGTTTCTGGCACGAGCGGTGTGTACGGAATAACTTGCGAGATGATGGCGGCGTGAGGATTGCCGGTAGGTGACAACTCCGATTGATGATTGTCGGTGGCTGACAGCCCTAATGTGAGAGACAGAGGATCCGTCGTCACATCCGTGAGGGGTTCGGTCGAGATCATGACGGTATCCAAGTCCAACCTCGTAGCTGTTGTCATGGCGTCACCCCTCCGACCGCTCCTGGAATTGGAGGCTTTGGAAGCCACCGTTTGCACTTGAAAGCGCAATACATCATTTTCTCGTTGGAGAAAACCAATCCGCTGAGCCACTTCTCACCGAATTTCTTCTCTAATGGTTTCAAGCTGTTGATGAAATCCCGCCAACAATGGATTTGAGTTTTCGGCCATAATCGATCCTTTTTTGTGCGAATTTCCCACAGACGGCGCCAAATTGTTTATGCTAAAAATAAACTAATATTAAAATGAAATGGGAATCGAACAAATATGGATCGACAAGGGAATAATTGAGAAATGAAAATATGGATAATTTCTATTGATATTTCATATGTGACTAAGAACTTGATTACAAGAGTATAGTGAGAGTGATTGGTAGATTTGATCAAAATGATCGTGTGCTACCTCGATGGGAGCATAGCCTATTTATTAAATAAAATCCTACTTCCTCTCCAAGTCTTGCGCCTCAACCCTATTTTTTCTTCACGTGCAACCGCCTGCTCTTATCCTTCTCGTTTCTTTGACCTCGCACGTTTCAATTTGATTTAAACTCAATCTCATCCTTGCTGCATACATGGGCCTCCCTTGATGGTTGCCGGGCCTTCTACTATCAAACAAATAAAACATCGGCCCATATATTTTTTGGTCCAACAGAGATTCCACCTACCTTTTGGATCAATCAATAAAAAGCGACTAAACAGTAGACTCGTACCTCTCTCTCTCTCTCTCTCTCCTTCAAGACTCCTCTACTGAAATTATTACTCCGGATATGCTGAATTGCTGATGATCCAAAGCTGAAAGCCACAAATCAAGCACAATTCTCGTAGTTCTCTTCCCCCACGCAAGTAAGCATCCTCGGTTAACCTTTGATTCTTGAAAAAGAAAGAAAGAAAGAAAGAAAGAATGAAAGTAAGTAAGTAAGAAAGAATCTCCGAGCGATTTATGCATTAAGTGCCTATTAATTTAACGTTTCAATTTTGATTACCCTTCCAATGATTTGTATTACCTGCACTTCAATCGATTGTGTCAATTGTCTGAGAGTATATTCCTAGAATATTCATCTTGTATGGGAGCAATCATTCATGTAAATTAGTTTATGAGCTCATTCTTGAATTGGGTATTCTTCATTCATTGCAATTTTCCTTTCTCTTGTTAGTTCGTGTCCATATGAATCTGATTTAGCTCTAACTCGGGTGGAATTACGTAGTTTTTGCATTGGTGATTTTTCTGCAAAGTGTTAGGCCACACAGATGACAGGGAATTATTAGGTAATGATGAGATTTCTTTTTTAATTGAATGTCAATTGCTGGTAGACACTCTCTGTCGCTTCTGTGGTCTTCTATAGGCATTTCTCTTTTGTACAAATTTCCAGTTTTTGAAGAAAAATAAGTATTTTCTTGACCAATGCAAGATATAGTTTTTGTTTGTTTGTTTGTTTATGTGGTCCTAGTGGTTCTTCTCGAATCTCTGAGAATCTATGGTTCTATTACTCTAAGAGTGTATTATGCACATAATTTATTACAATGATATGAACTTGAAGCATTAAGGTGATGCTATGATAAACGTTCAACAACCTTAAATCAGTCACTGTGATTAATATTCAAGAACTGTTTCATGTATTTCATGAAGTAATTTTATGAGCTGTTATTTATTCCAAATTTCCAATAAAAAATTTATTTTTTTTACAGTTCACAGTTGTGTTCTAGAGCTTTTTCATAACCTTGTGTGCAGGTATAGTAAAGGGACATTAGCAGGGGCTGCTTCAACAAACTGAAAACATCATTTCCCAAGAACTATAAATGGATCCAAGTAATTAAATTGATTCCACATGCTGACTTATACTTCATGTGCTCACTTAATTTAACTAAAATGATATTGCAGCATTCTTTTTGGGCTCTCGTTCTTTTTTCAACTTTTTCAAAAACTGAGGTCATAAAAATTGGTTATTACTGTTTACATTGGGCTGTTTAAACTCTATTACATCCTGGGTGCATAAAGTACACAAGGTTGTAGCTTTAATTAGAAAATTTGATAGAAATGGAAATAGTGGTAGTTATTAGCAATCTAAATAAATATACCATCCCTGTTTCAATCTTGTCTGAATGTCTGATAGAGATGAAAATAAAAATACGAATTATGATGCATCCTTTTTGTGCTCTTGTTCTTAATTTCTCAATAAATTGAGGTATTAAAGATGGTTCTTACTATCATTATGGACTGTTTGTACTCTAGTACATCCAGGATGCGTAAAGTACTCAATATAAACATATCATCCATGTCTCGATCTTTTCTGATAGAGGTGGAAATGTTGATATTCATATTCACTAGCAATTGAAATAAACATAGCATCCGGGTCTCAATCTTTTCTGATACAAATGACAATAAAGATACATATTTGTATCTTAGCTAAGAGTGCTTGTGCATATCTTTTGTTGAATATGAATGATCGGTTGACTAAGATAAGGTAGCAAGTAAAAGAAGAGTTCCGGTGAAACTGTTTTTTAAAGCATCCTCTATAGAACCTTTGTTCCTACCTGTTCTGTAACAGATATATATTAAGGGAGGAAGATATATTTAAGGGATAAGTAGAGACCTTGTTGTGAATATAGATTCAGAGTTTCAGACTACATTCTATGTAAACAGAAACTACTCTTGAGGAAGGAGAAAGTAGAGACGGCGTTGAATTGGCAAGATCTGTTTCTGACAAGCATTTTGATCTTTTGAGGCCATCATCTCGGTATTATTCATTGTTTAAAGGTTGTTTCTTTGTTACAGTTGATGATTAGTTCTCCGTGATGTCTAAAATGAATTTTTTGACACGATTAAGATGATTTTTTGGGGGAAAAAGATATAGTCGATAATTTGCCATTTTAACATTCTAAAAAGAGAATAAAATTGGTATAGGTTCACAAAAAGTAAAAGATTAAATCATAGATAACAGTATAAAGCAGTAAAGTTAAAAAGTTCAAGATTTCAAATAAGGGAAGTGTATCTCAGAAAGGGACAGAATGAGTACTGTTAATTAACTTGTTACACGTACTCTAGAGCCTAGAGCCTTCTAATCATACTTAAGTTTCCCCCTTCTTGATCTCGATTTTAAGTTTAATTTGCTTCCTCTCATTGTGGGCAAAGTTGCTCTACTTTGACACTAGTATTGCGGAGAAAATAATCGTTTACGTTCTAATTGACGTAAATTATGGGACAAATACAAGCTTATTTTGTAGGTTAAGCAATGAATAAGGGTATCCCCTAATAAATGTAGGAAAGGTCTTCACGTGTTTGAGCACTGGAGCAAATTTTCCATTTAGGCATCCAATGCACCTTTAAAGTTATTTGATGTAAGCTTATCAGCTAATTAATATAGATGTCCCTTTTAGCAACGGTTTTTCTTAAGTCAAAATTTTGTCAAAGTTAACAAAAATGATATAATCTCATTCTATTATAAGATTGCTTTGAACTGAAGGTCGAAAGTTTGTTTATTCTTTTGCATGGTGTGGTCATATGGTTGACTATATTAGTTTTTCAAATTCTTACTAAAGTGCTGATTACTGAGTGGTTACTGTATATATAGGGCAAGGAGCAAAAGGGGATGACCGTAACAAGGGAAAGTACAGTCCGTTAAGAAGTGTCGAAGACGGTCAAGCAAGTTTATATGATAGACCTCTTCCTTGCTTTGGTTGTGGGATTGGATGGTTTTCGTAAGCACTTCACATCCCTCCCTAGTTGCTTTCCCTGGGGGCTTGTTTGGTTTAGGGATTTCAGAGGGAAGGGAAGGGGAAGGATCAATTTAAAATTTTAGTAATCTATCTGTATTTGTTACTTTAGTACAGGGTTACTTTAGTACAGGGGTAAGACTCCGTACATCCGCCCCCCCCCCCCCTACCCCACCGTAGGTGGGAGCCTTTGCGGCACTGGGGTAAATGAAAATGAAATGATCTGTATTTGTTACTTTAAGACTAGAAATAACTGTATGATTAGTTGTATCATATACTTTTATATAATTTTTATATTCTATTTTTTTTATCTGAATGTTTAAAAGTTAAAAATCGCCCTTTCCTTCCCTTCCGTCCGAACCCCAGAGCCAAACAAGCTATGAAAAATCTTCTTTTACACCTCACATTTGACTTGTCGATGTTAGATTTCTTTCTGGAATTGTATGCCCAATTATGTGGTACTATGCTGCAATACTGTATCTTGGCAATTACTACCGGAAGGATCCCAGAGAACGTGCAGGACTGGCTGCATCTGCAATTGCGGTAAGAACTCTAAAGTCACTATTTTAATAACGGTTTGAAATCGGTCATTAGTGACACCAATTTTTAGGTCCGGAGCATCTTCCAAACCAATGGGTCATGTCTTTCGATTTTCATCATCTTCATCTAATATTACATCAATCATGTAAAGTTGTGGTTAAATCGGTAAGTTCTGAAGAGTTGACCAAAATAGCACGAAATCATGAATGGAGTATTGGCTTTTGGTTCACTCTCATTATAAACCATTAACCATTATAGTTAACAAGACATTAAAGTATAGTTCTGTTTCTTAAAAAACCCAGGTAGGTGGTAGTTATTATGGCTAAAATTTTGGTTTCTATGCATGACAGGCAATGGCATGTTCTGTAGTGCTGTTGATTGTTGTTGTGATTCTGCTACTGTAACTTTATCCCTACTAGAGCTGTACTGTCATGGGGTTGAAGAACACTCTTTACAAGTATGATCCTCCAGTTTGGTGAATTGTGTGCCTGAATGATCTATACAGAGAGAGAGAGAGAGAGAGAGAGAGAGAGAGAGAGAGAGAGAGAGAGAGAGAGAGACATCATCCAATTGTATGTATATGCGTGCTTATAGTAGTTGTATATGTTTGTTTATACAACACACTCATGAATGATGTAGATTCCTTCACTGCTTCAATAAAAATAGAGTCATCCCTTTTAGAGTCATCGTCTTATTCTTATTACTTATTGATTATTCTTATTTTATTCAAATCAGATCAGAAAAATTTAGATCAGATCAGAAAGATTCAGATCAGATCAGAAACATTCAGATCAGAGAGATTCAGATTAGATCAGAAGCATTCAGATCAGAAACATTCATAGCAAATTGGAAACATTCTATTATTATCGATTATATTATTATTATTATTATTAGTATTATTATTATTATTATTTATTATTATTATCACTATTATCACTAATATTATTCTTATTCTTATTATTATCATTATTATTATTATTTTATTATAATTATTATTATTGATATTGTTATTATTATTATTATTATTATATATCGGTTTAGAAAGTTAAGATCAGATCACAAGGATTCAGATCAGACAGATTCAGATCTTAAAAAAAGACATTCAGATGAAGAGAACACCTTCTTAGTCAGGGGTGATAAAGAATTCATTTATCCAAAATTCAATTGCTCCATGCCTCCATCCAAAAAATAAATATGCCTGTCCGTCCTTTAAAAAGAAGATTTAGAACAATGTACGGATGGTTACTCATCATTCATCCTTATCCGAACTATCTGGGATCAGGGAATTGAACTTATACTACTAATCTGTCGTATAAGTTTAATTAATCATCATCATCATAGCTTTAAAGCATAAAGGGGTGGTTATTCTATGCCATCGCCCATTCAGTAGGCGACTTTCCCTTGATATCCGAAATGACGAAAGGAAGCTAGCAAATCTGAAGTCAGTTCATGGTTATAACTTTTTTATTTTTATTTCGGTTTTTGCAAAAAAAAATAAAATAAAAATCATAACTATTATATTATCTTTCGTATGACACTTTTTTATTATATTTTTATGAGTCATTCACAAACCCTCTCTCCGTACGTTAGTACAAGGGTAGTGATACATCGTATTAAACTTTAGAGAGGGAAACCATTGAGACTGAATAGCTTGATTCATTTCAGAAAATAACCTCCTATTTATACAACATTTTAGAGACTAATAAGGTAGGCTACTAATTAAAAGATTTGTAACTGATTTATAATAGAAAAAATTGCCCTAAATAAGATCAAAACATTGTCAAAATTCCTAATTAGGACATTAAATTTATTATTCCCTAAATAGGACTCCACATTACATTCTTGCCCTCATGATTAAACCCAATCGATCGACTCTTCCTCCCAATCAGTTCCCTTTACTCTGCAACTTTTCTCCTCGCCATGGAATTGCAGCCCTTCGCCCGCGATTGAACGCAACCACTCCGCCCACTATGAAACGCAGCCCCTACAACATCAACGGCGTCCGCCCTCCCCATCGACACCAATCACACCTATTTCTCCGGTGAAAATAGGCCACCCTCTCCAACTTTCTTCTTTTCTTCTTTCTTCTTCTTCTTTCTTCTTCTTCTTCTCTTTTTTTCTCCTTCCGGTTCGATCTTCATCTCCTCATCATTTCTCTGGTGCTCTGTTTGCATCTTTGTAGAATGATTTTGATTTTTCTTAATTCTTTTACTTTTCTAAAAAAATCTCACTTGTGACCATTTAGATCAAACGTGTGGTTCCAACTTCCAAGCAACAACAAACTTTTTATTTGAGTTGTACGAAGTATTATGATATTGATTAACAGGGATTGGATTTGAATTTTATTAATTAATTTGGATTCTTTGTGTTTGAATTTTATTTATTCAGCAAAATGTCACTTTTATAATTTAAGAATGTCAAACTTATTGGTTATTTGAAAAAAAACTGTCATGTTTGTGGCAGTATATTTATCAAGTTGTCAATCTGAAAATGTCATATGTCCATAAGAAAATGTCATTCTTATGGCATTTTATGGCATTTTTATGGCTTACTTGAGAATGTCATTTTGAAATGTCATTTTTTCAAAGTGAGATTGCCATCTTGATGAACATGCTGCCGTAAAAGTGACATTTTTTCAAATAACTTATAATTTTGACATTCTGCAGATTATAAAAGTGACATTTTCTAGAATTTACCAAAATTAAACAAAATTGGCAAATAAAATATAAATTCAGATATATCTGATCATGATCATTCGTTGAAACTTACTTTTCATCTGAAATTTTAGATCCAAAGGAGTATTTTCATTTTTAATAGAAAAAAAATGAAAAATTGAAGCACAGAGAACCTGAAGAAGATAATAAGAGGAATAAGAAGAAAAGAAGAAGGGGAAGAAAAGAAGGATAAATGAATCAATTCCCCGCTATTCACTTGGCGATAGGAATCTAGAGGTAGGCGAGAGATCATCCGCGTGGTGGCAGCGGCTATATTAAACAACGGAAACTTATAGTTTTATAGTGAGGGGTAATTTTGTCAAGCTGCAATATTTTAATCCTAAAAAGGTCCTAAAAACTTGGTAGTCCTAATTTTGCATTTTTCCATCGTTTTAGTCTCATTTAGGGAATTTACTCTTTATAATATTAAATACAAATATTTCTAATTTATTGTGTAACCGATGTAACAGTTCTCTGGAGTTGTTTAGACTCTTCTATATGCCCTCGCAAATCAGGTATTCCGTCAGTGCTGAGAATCCTGAGCTTGTCACGTAGAAAAACAAACCGTTATCGAGAAAGGGGTTTGGTGAGAATGTCAGCTAGTTGATCATGCGAGGGAAAATGGAAATCAAAGGCAACATGTTTCATGCGGGAATGAAATACAGGATTGGCGGAAGAGGTGGTAGCACCTTTATTGTCACATAGAAGAACCGGAGGGGAAGTAGGTGAATGTCGGAGCTCATGAAGGAGTGACTCAATCCAGAGAGTTTCGGATGCAGCAGTGAAAAGAGCCCGATAATCTGCTTCAGTAGAGGATTTGGCAATTGTGCGTTGCTTGGATGATTTCCAAGAAATAAGTGACTCTCCGAGAAAAATGGCATAGGCGTTGGTAGAGGAGCGGTCATCAGGATTCCCTGCCCAATCTGCATCAGCATAAGCACATAAGGAAAGGAAAGAACTCTGTCGGAAATATAAACCATGAGAGGCAGATCCTTGAAGATAACGCAAGAGGCGTTTCATGAGTTGTCAATGATTCACCGTGGTTTTGTGCATAAACTGAGCTAGCTTGTTGATGGAAAAGGCAGTGTCAGGTCTGGTGACTCTTAAATACTGAAGGGAGCCAATGACCTGTCGATAAAGAGTTGCATCACAAGAACCCGAACTATCAAATAGAGTCAAGGAAGTTGAAGACGCTAGAGGTGTGGATACTGGATTAGCCTCATGCATATTCAACACCTGTAAATAATCTGTAATGTACTCGTGTTGATCAAGAAAAAGACCATCTTGTGTAGGGGTGACCTGTGATAAGCACAATAATTACTTATGTTTTACATAAGTAATTATATACATCTGTACAAAAATATAGAGCGAAAACAGATAAATATTCCAAAATATGCAAAAATGTGGAATATGGCTAGGAGCGACAAATACGGGGTCAAAAGTCAAAAGGAGTTAAAAATCGACACTTCTGGATAAATCACGCGCATGAAATTGAGAAGAAGAAGCAAGTAAACATTTTGGCGCAGTGACCGGCGCCAATCAGGCCGGAACCGGCGCCAGTTGGATCTTAATTTCCGAAAAAATATGCATGACCGGCGCTGGTCAGGCCAGAACCGGCGCCGGTTGGGTCTGATTCTGCTAAAACACAGCAACGTGCAAGACAATTCTTGATGGGAAAACTTCATCTTCCTCAATGCTAATCAAATATTGCTTCCATACCTGATTGTTGGGTTCGAATAGACTAAAAGATGTCATTCTTTAGCCTATACAAACCCCCTCATTCATCATGCAAAAGACATTCCATTCCATAGATTAATTCCTAGTTTTTATATTTTATTCTTGTTATTGTTCTTCAAGATCTTTGGAAAAGAAGTCATTTCTCCCCTCTACAATTGGTTCTAGGTAATATTTCTTGTACGTTATTGTGTTTCCTTTATCTTAGTTACACTTTTGTAATTAATATGAGCATTAGAGGCTAAATTCTTAGCTAAAGCTAGGGATGAACTTCTATGCCCATTAGGTGTTTGATAAAAGTTCTAAACCAATAAATTGTGATTTATCCTTTATATATTGATTATTTATGACTATGGTGTACAACATAGAAGTATGTTAAATTTAGTTTATACTTGCAATTAACGTTGAAGTCTAAACTATGAAAATTAAAGGATAAACATATATAGTACCGAGAATAGAAATATATCCGGTCTTATATGATACGGGTGTGATGTCTTGATATTCAACGGGGTTTTCGGTAGATGAATGTAAGCCGTAACGGGACTTACACGTAACGAAAACCACGCTCTCGGTGCCTTAACCGGAGTTGAGAATATATTAGCGACATCGTATTCATAATTTTTGGCAAAGAACTAAAATACAACCCTATTAAAGCATTTAAGTGATTCCCGAAGCCTTAGTTGTTATTATTCATCTTAAACTCAAAATTAGTTAACGATTATCTTCTTGAACAAAACGCCAAAAATATCAAACACAAATCAAAATCCCTGCACTTTACTCATTTCTTCATTTAAAGTTATCTACTCATGGACTATATTAAACAACGTTTCCTTGTGGATTCGACCCGGTATTTTACCGGAATTTATTACTATATCGGCACTTGTACACTTGCAAGTTTAGTCCGGCCACGGTGGACCATGACACAGAGCCTTGATTATCTCATCAGCTCCATGGACCGCATGCACACAAGGATGGATGTCTATGAGACTCGGCAAGAGGAGCTTTACACCCGTTTTGACTCCTTTGAGGCTCACCAAGCGCATATAGAGGAGCAATTCCAGGGGTATGATCAAAGGTTTGGGGACTTCGCCCAACACTACTAAAACCAATATGAGTACCCCCCTCCCGATCCACATCATTAAGTACCCCTTTGTTATTATTTTATAATATTACTCTTCTCTAAACACACTTAATCGTGGATGTTGTTGGAAGTGTTTGTTTATCATGCATCATACATTGGGAC